TTTAAATCCAAGTTTATATGATGGGTAATATAAGTGAAATATAACAACAAAGAGATAACAAGCAAAAGAAAATCGAACACTGAATTTATTCTAAAATTTTGATGAGACATTAGTTAATGCATTTTTTAGAGTTCATCTTTTCTTTTTTCTTTTTTCTTTTTGACTATTTTTTAGTTCTTGCCACATTTTTGAATTTTTGTCATTTCCATTCCATAATCGAAGTTATTTTTCATGTTTAGTTAAAGTGAAACATATTTACAAAGAGACGACATGTAAAAGAAAATTAACAATTCCTTAGATCTAGTTTAAGATTTTGATTAGTGTTAAATATTATTTATCATTTTTTGAATTTCTGTCACTTCTTAAATTTCTTCCATATTTAATGCCACAGAAACGTCGTCCAATTAATTTTTTTGAAGCATGTATTTGTTGTTAGTTCATTTGAATCTCATTTAATTGTCTATCAATGTTCTTTTTGCACGATTGATGTTTAATATAGTCGGGTAGCTCTTGTCAAATATCTTATTAAAAAAAAATCAAGTTACGTAGCATGTGACGTGATCTTTTCGTTAAAAATTGACATAGTATGCTGTGCCATTTTTTAATTAAAATGTCACACAATTAATTTCTAATAGAACAATATATCTTTGACTAACCTTAAATTGCGTATTAGTTTTTTTAAATGTTAATTTATTTTGTATTGTGCTAATGTAAATTAAGTTTTCATGATAGATGATATGACATTGTACATCACTTGTAAAAAAAAAGTAATACACAATATATTTTTTTAATAAAAAAGTGAAAATTTAATATTTTTTTATTTTCAAAATATTTTTCATATGATTTTTGAAAATGTCCTTGATTTTAGGGATATTTGCGTAAGCTTCCCCTTATTGAATTTTCCAAAGGAGGCCCAAATACGTGAACAAATAGAAGCAAGCCCAGCTCATCTTTCACAAGCCCAAAATAAGTACTAAAACTCGAAACCCTATTTGATCCCCAATTCTTCAGAAAGCTGACAGATATTTGAGGAAATAGTGGCAAATGTCCGAATGGTCCGTTTTTGCAAAATAGACGTTGACCAATTAAAAAAAAAACGGAAAAAATAAAAAACAAGGAAAGA